ACGTCGTGCGGTCCCAGGAGGCGTGGTTTGTGTACGCGTTCACGCACACGTCGGCCGTGCTCGAGACTTTCTGGTGGAAGATCACGGGCAAGGAGGCCGCGTGGTTTGTCACAGGCAGTTCGTCCCGCGGGTCGGTCACGGAACTCCCGAACGTCCTCGTGTACTTTGGGCACGTGTTTGGGCTAGTTTGGGCGTTGATCCGGTTCTTTGCCACGTACAACTCACAGCAGACGTCGCACGGCGCGTCGCTGCTGGTCGCGAGTCTCATGATGGGGCTGTTCATTGCCACCAAGCTCGGACCGAGTGTCCGCATGAGCATCCAAGAGTACTTTGGGTGGAGCTACCAGAGCTTAATGGACCAAGGCAACTTTTTCGGCCAGTCCTTGATTGCGTTTGGCCTTGTGTTCATCTCGTTGTGGGTGTACATTGAAAAGCCGAGTTCGAACCCGTTTTAATTCCTTGATTATATACTTTTACATACAGCACACATCTAAGCAAGCTGCCATGGAATCTTGTTTTACAGTTAGCCCTAAGTACCCTTTGTGTTACAGTGATGGTGTCGTCTTGGCACGACGAGGCAACGTTCGCAGTTTATGGGGCTTGAGTTTCAACTTGCGCGTGCCTCGAGCCCCCCGCGACGGCTCGTCACGTTTTGCCGCCGAGTCCACCGCTGCATGAGCTCCATGTTTGTACTTGGCCAAGTTGACTTGGGTCGTGACTTCCATGATGGGCTGCAGTTTGCCCTTTGCGATCGTCATGTCCCTCGCCGTCGCCGCGTCGTGTTTTGTGATCAAGTTGGTGACAATACCTCGCTTTCCCGCCCGTCCAGTGCGCCTACGCGATATGTTTGATACAAACGTGAAGGTTCTTAGCCTTGGTATTTAGTAGAAGCATGAACATTGCGATATCAACATCCAAGAGACGTTTCAACAAGTGTAGTGCTGGCCATGAGACATAGAGCGATTTTACAAATCAAATGGGTTGACCAAAGCATCAACGTTACCCGGCTCGGTGCAAGTAATCGACCGACGATTTGGGAAAGTCAAAGTTGATGACATGATCGACATGTACGAGGTCCAGGCCTCGCGCCGCCAGGTCGGTGCATACCAACACGGTGGCGTCGCCAGCCACGAACGCGTCAAAGTTCTTCTTGCGGACCACGGGGGGGATGTCTCCGTGTAGGGTCGTCGACGGGTACCCGTGCTCTTGCAGCATGTGGTCTGTGGACCTGCAGCTGGCCGTCGAGTTGCAAAACACGAGCGTCTTGCCTTTACTCCATTGCGACAAGGACGCCCGCAGCGCGCCGTGCTTGTCGGCCGAGCCCTAGTTGTATCCAAACTCAACGCCCATTCAGAGCCAACCAATCAATGACGTACCGGCACTCGAATGTATTCTTCCGTGAGACTCGGCGGGGTTTGGTGCACGCCTTTGCCGGACACGAGCTTGAGGTCGGGAAACGTCGACGCAAACACTTGGTCCATGGGGGGCTTGACCGTCGCGGCGGCCAAGAGGTACTGCACGTGGCGACTCGACGCCAAGCCACTCGCGCGAATGGGTCCCAGGATCTCGTCCATGATGGGGCGGAACCCCATCTTCCGATCCAGCAGCGTGTCGGCTTCGTCGATGACTACAAACTCGACGCGCGACAGAAACACGTGGCCGCTCTTGATGTACTTGGCCAAGCGCCCTGGGGTCGCCACCAACACGTCGATGGGCCGGCCCAACGCGGCCTTTTGCGGCTTCTGTTCGCTGCCACCCGTGATGATGCAGGACGAGAACTTGGCCAAGTGCGACAACTCCCGCGCCACGGCGCCGACTTGAATGCCGAGCTCGCGACTGGGAACGAGCACAATGGCCTTGGGCCGGCTCACTTCGCGCCGCACAGTGTCCACTGGGCTTGGGCTGATGGTTGCGGTGGCATCAGTGGGCATGTCGTCGGGGGTGGATGCAGAGTGTGCGGCCTCCAGCTGCGCGCGGTTCCGTTGAGCTAGGACGAGCTGCCGCTTCTCGGACCGACGAATCTTCTCTACAACAGGAAGGAGATACGCCAGTGTCTTGCCGCTACCGGTGGCATCCGTGCAAATCACGTCGGCTCCATTGAGCGCCGCCGAAATGGTTCGTTCTTGGATGTTCGTAGGCGATTCCAACCCCTTGTTATGCAACGCTTCGCAGAGTTCTCGACTCAGACCCAGCGACTCGAATGTCGAGCCATGGCGAGTCCACGCGTTCGCAATGGAGTGGACAGCCGATGGACGTGACCGTAACAACCGAGTAAGCATGCTTCAAGTTGAAAGTCAAATCCAACGCAAGCGATTGGTGCCGATACCCTTCAATAAAGTACAAATATTATATTATGCTTCAAATATTATGCTTCAAATATTAATACTATTAATAGTACTCCGTGGCACTTCAAATTATCAATACTCAAAATATATTGTACTTATTCTTAGTACAGACTGTAGTACGATATATAAAGCCAAGCCATTATGCCCGAGTGGTCTAAGGGGGTGGACTTAAGATCCACTAGACTTTCGTCTGCGTGGGTTCAAACCCCACTGATGGCAATCTTTTTTCTTTCCAAGCCATTCTAGTATATAGTAGTAGGTATCTACTATTAATATTATTGAAATTATTAATAGCAGTAAAAGTACTTCATGTAGTTTGAATAGTAGTAGTGCTACGCAGTATTCACCAATGTGCTGTACATACCACATACGTTTGTAAGATTATTCTTACACTAAATTTAGATATCAAGCCATTATGCCCGAGTGGTCTAAGGGGGTGGACTTAAGATCCACTAGACTTTCGTCTGCGTGGGTTCAAACCCCACTGATGGCATTCTTTTTTCTTTATCCAAGTGAGTGATTTTGCTTGCTCTATGCCATGATGTATAATTATTGATGGCAAGTTAAAGTTACGGCGCCAGATATGCGTGCGTGCAGTGAGAGATTTCTTGTCGAGTAATGCAACTTACTGTTAAGGCGTTTCTCGTGTTACTGGCAGTTGACGTAGCACTGGCAGCCCAGATCGATGTGGCTGCTCCCAACTCATCGGCAACGTTGCTCTCTGCTGACGCCACCCCAACAGTGACTTCTCTCGACGGTAACAACAACCCAGTCCTGGTGCTCCCCCAAAGCGTAGTCAATGTCACTGCCAAGTTCAAAAATCAAGCGGTGAATTCTTCCAACACCTTGCCAACGCCGAGCCCCCGCGCCAACGATTTCAGCTTGCTCAGTTCATCGGGTGTCGGCCCCGTGGCAGTATGGCCAGCCCTCATCGCTGGGGCGTGCATTGGGCTGGGGCTCGCGATCCTTTTCTACGGATACAAACTGTTTCGACCGACGGTGTTTGTGTCGTCGTTTGCTTTTGGAGCGATTGTGGGGTACATGACAGCCGAGCGCGTGTGTGCGCAAACCTCGGGGAGCTTTTACATCGTGTGCTGGGCCGTGTTCTCCGTGTGTGGGCTGGTCTGCGGCTTAGTAGGGCTATACGTACTCAGCGTGGGTGTGATGCTCGTGGGCGGCACGGGCGGCCTCGTGCTGGCATTCCTGCTCACGACTTCGTTTGGACACAAGTGGTGGCCAAGTTACACCGACGGCATCTTGTTTATCTTCATGGGCGTCCTGAGTCTCGCCTTTGCGATCGCGTGTTACACTGTTGAGAAGCCCATGCTGGTGCCAATGATGGCGTGGACAGGCGCGGGCGCGGCCATGTGGGGCGTAGGGTACTTTGCTGGGGGGTATGCGTGTGCGGACGACTTGTCCGTGTACCGAGTGTCGAACGCGCTTGGCGAAGTGAGCTACACCATCCCCAACTCGTTTTGGATATACCTATGCGCCACGATACTCCTGACACTGGTCGGTACGTTTGTGCAGTTTCTCAGCACCGCGTGCTGCGAAAACAACACCCTGTACACGTGGGAAACCCACGGAGACATTGAAATGGACGTGCGTCGAACAGCATACAACCAACAACCGAGGCCGTACGACGGCTACGGCTTCGGTCGCGGAGTGCGCACCGAAGTCAACTACTACCATCGCCACGACGACCATACTAATTAATATACATGCGTACTCATTTCTACGCTAAGCACTCAGCGTCCTCATTCTGGTACACGTGATCTAACCAACAACACCTGATTGTTAGTATATCAAGGAATCCTTGGCTCCAAGACCGAGATTTACTGTGCCTGTTCTCCACGGCTTGCCCTGAAAGACCAAGCATTCCAGGAAAATTGCACAAGTTTCAAATGCCGGCGGATGGTCGGTGATATCCGGTCAATATCCGGATACACTTTTGGTTTTGGCAAATCGTTTTGAATCTGGGTTTGGCGCAAAAACCCCGTGGGACTGCGTGCATGGAGGACGACGAGTGGGACGATGCAGCATGGGAGGCCGTCGCCATGGAAGCGGACATCGTCGAGAGCACAGTTGTCGCCGAACGCCATGGAGTCTACGCTGCCCCAGCGACAAATGATCGTTGGACGTGCCCGCGATGTACGTTGCACAACCCTGGGACTCAATCGACATGTTCAGCGTGCGAGTTTGCAAGGATTCAACGCACACCACCACCGGCTTCAAACGCACCTCTATTGCCATTAGCTTCGCGCAGTGGAGGATCGATGTCGTCTTGGCTCGTTCCATCAAAGCAAGCAACGCCAGCTCCAACCCGTTGTAGCAACTCGTCATTTCCGCCAGCACAAGCACACGTACTACCGTTCGCTCCATCGGCTTCAGTATCCACGCGCGCGCCTGTGTCCTACACCACTTCAGGTCCTTCCTCGACATCGTCATCATCAGCAGCAGCTGCAGTAGTACCCCCACCACCGCCACGTCCGCGGTCATCGCTGGCGCTGCTCCCAAGCACGTTGTCGTTTCTGCCCAATCCCATGGAAATCCCCGAAGACTCTGTCGTGATGGGCGCCGACATCGACCGGGACTTGGCGACCCAGTGGATCTACCCAAGCAACTACCCCGTCCGCGCGTATCAGCAGTCGATTTCCCGCGCGGCGTTGCTGCAGAACACGCTCGTGTGTCTGCCCACGGGCCTCGGCAAGACGCTGATCGCGGCGGTAGTCATGTTCAACTTCTACCGATGGTTTCCGCGCGGGAAGATCGTGTTCATGGCGCCGACCAAGCCGCTCGTGAGCCAGCAGATCCAAGCGTGTCACGACGTCATGCCCATCCCGCAGTCCGACATGGCTGAGCTCCAGGGCAACGTCGCGCCCGCCAAGCGCAAACAGCTGTGGGCCACCAAACGCGTGTTCTTCTGCACCCCCCAGAGCCTCCAGAACGACATCGAGCGCGGCAACTGCGACGTCCGGTCGTTCGTGTGCGTCGTCGTGGACGAAGCGCACCGCGCGACCGGCAACTACGCGTACGTGGTTGTAATCAAGGCCATCGCGGCCAAAGTGTCGGGGTTCCGCGTCCTCGCGCTGTCGGCGACGCCCGGCGCCAAGTTTGACGTGATCCAGGATGTGATCACGAACCTGCGCATCTCGCACATCGAATGCAAAAATGGCGACGACCCTGATGTCAGGTATATGTATATATATATAATATATATATGGATGGGTGGGTGGTCCATCCCCGATACATAAAACTCTTGTGTGAGTGTCGCGAATCTTGTGTATATGTGTGACACTGTTGATTGCGAAGGTCACAGCAGTGAGGGTAGCTAGAACATAAAGGGGGTTGTGTTATGTCCAATGGCCAAGAAGAGTGTTGGTTTGGTCAAGAAGAGTGTTGGTTTGTGAGGGGGTATTGCTCATCACAC